TTTCCAGATGTGCTTTTACTTTTTTTGAGTGGCATTTTTTGTTAATGCTAACAGATTTGTACAGTTCATTAATTAAAAAAAATAAGGTGTCCAGCCAAAGAGCTTCACCTCCAGATGTGCAATTAGATTTTATTTTTTCGAAGAGGGTTGCCACTTGTACGAAAAATTATAAGATGTGCGATGTTCAATGGACTAAATAGTGAGTTGCCAAATGAAAGGACTTGAGCTCCAGATGTGCAATAAGGTTTTAATAAGTTTAAGTTTAAATAACAATAAAAAATAAAAACATTAAAAAAAATTAAATAAATAAAGTAATCTAATTTACGATGGCCAAGATAACACAGAAATTAAAGAAAGCTTTTTTTTTGTTTTTTTTTTTTAAGTTGTCCAGTTATTAAAAATGCACATGTACAATACAAATAAAAATTAATAAAAAAATAAAGAATAAATAAATAAAAAAGTGGGGTATTTTATTCGTGTAAACTTCTCGTGATAGGCCCGGGATACTGCATGTGTGGAAATGTACAGGCAAATAACAGGTTAAATTTTGAAAGAATTTTTAAAATCAATTTATCAAAATTAGTCACATGAATGAATTGTTTAACATAAAACGAACCACTATAAAAAACTTTTATTTTTATTTCTTTAAGTAATATAATATTAAATAATTAAAATGATGCCGATATCTTATTACATTCAACGAGCAATTCTTGCATATAAAAATATATATATATCCATAGGTTTCTCGGAAACCGCTCTAGCAATTTGGATGAAATTTCTTACACAGATAATGTTTTGCAGTCTATGGTTATCTAGATAGGTGTTATCTCCGAAAATATCGGTATACGGTTTCTACCAATTCGAAATTAGTTATAAACTAAATAACACATCACAATATGGGTATCAAGTGGAAAGTGTTTCGAAAATCCCCAATTCAGAAATATTTTTGAATAGGGTTGCCACCTATTTTCTATCGCATATTTATTTAATTTTTTGTTTAGGAAATTGACACATAATATTACTCTTTACGGATGGTAAAAGAAAGCTTTTAAACAATGCCTTGCATATGTAGTAAGTGTTGTCGTTTAAGATCTTAGTGTAAGGTTGCCACTTATTTTCGATTCTGCAAAATTCCTCTAAAATAACTTAATATGGATCTCAAATGAGACGTGTTTTTTAGAACTTTAATAATATTTTCGATGCGGTTTGCCATTACTTGATACTGAAACCTTGAAAACTTTAAAAAATGTATACATTCCGAGCAAAGCTCGTTCAACCTGGTGCTTGTGATATTAAATAGGCATACCTTTTTTTAATAAAAGTGATTGTAACTTTTTAGATAGGTGGCAACCCTACTCCAAAATATTTTTTTTATGCTGAGGTGCTTTTGAATAATTATAATATTCATATATCTGGCAACCCTATTTTTTTAAATTATGTTTCCACAAACTTTCTACAGAAAATATCAAGTAGAAAATCCAAAATACGTGCCTTCTCGGATTTTTCATAATTTTTGGACACCTGGTACTTTTCGATGTACCATGGATTTTGTTACTTTAGATAATTAATTTTTTCACGTTTAAATAATCAAAAAACAATTTTGGCCACTTTCTCTTTCTTCTGGCCCACTGTGGATTACAGTGGCTGTTGAAATAACTTGAAGAAAAGACTTACTTAAATTTTTTGCTAGTGGTTTCACAGCTACACATTACCCGCTCGCTTATATTGCGATGCATATTTTTGTTCAATAGTATTGGTTAATGTTTTCATGGTACTACCTACTGGGTAGTTTCTGCTCTTCATCAACAGTGCCAAATATTTTCTGTTAAAATTATACGCTTAAATCCACAGTTTATCATTTTTCAACCCTAATTTTACTCCATTTACATATTTAGAAATTCATATATTTTAAAATTCACATTACTTAAACAAATCTTTATTTTAAACACAAACACTAACATTAACGGTATATATGTATGTTACCGGTCAAACCCGATCTAACTAGTTTAGCCTTGGAAAAACTATTTTGTCCTAAAATCGGGTTTGGCCAGTAACATATATATGTATGTAAAAATAAAATATTTCGCTGTTTTCAACGTCGGTTTCTACGGTATCGTTGCTGATGTGAATGCTTTTGCTGTTGCTGTTGTGTCTTACGCTCTGGTTGTGATTTAAATTGTTTAGCTTTTGGCAAGGGAAAATCATCATTATCGATGGAAGAAGGATCTAAAATGTTGGAAAAAGTTGTTATAAACATACCTTTGTATATATTTGGTATAAACTGTGCCTTAAAAATGGTTACCTTCTGTGGCACCAAAGGTGACAACGGATTTATGACCGGATACTGGATTATGGAAAGCATTGAAGTTTGGAGGGGAACCTAAAGAAGAAATAATGTATTTTTTTTTTACTTTGTAAAGCTTGATGAATATTAAAATAAAATATGTGTACATATGTAAGTAGGCATGTAGTATATGTGTATAATGGGGCTATTGGTTGATGACGGGGATTTGGAAAATGTAACTAGACATAATGTCATATGGCTGATGAGTTTAACTAGTTTTGAGTATGTTTACAAATAGGGATTCACATATGAAAATTTATTCTTACTTGTGATGGATGACAGAGGGGTGAGTAGGAATGACGTTGGAAACAACTTCAGACGATTTTGAGTTGGCGATAACATCACCATATGGAAAAATAAATACAATTTAAATGCTGAGTGTATGTACATTAGGCTGGAGCGGAAACAAAAAATTGTGTGTGTTTGAAATTCTAATAGCGAGAGGTTGGTGCATTTGGAATTTTGGGAATGTAAAAATCGAAAATTTGAGAATTTTGTAAGTTCTAAACATGTAATCTTTTTTTGTTATTTTCTGGCCTCATAACAATTTATATTGATTTTTTTTTTAATAGAACATAACCAAAAATAACTACAACCACATGTTCACGCCTAATAGTGACAGAATAGTTGCCTTTCATTATAGTCGGATTGATTAAATCCAAAACTGGAAAAAGCAACCACAATTCACACGGCGCTTAGCTCAGTGGGTAAGACCACTGGCTTTGAACGCCGGACCTGCGAGTTCAAGTGCCAGCGTGAGAGAGTCTGATGAGGAGATCCGGAGATCTCCGAAATAGCAACTATAATTTCTACCAAAATGTAAGTAGTATTATTGTTTTTCCACAACAATTTTCATTAATAACAGCGTTAATTTCAATACAAAATGTTCAATATAAACAAATAACGCAATTTATCGAAATTATTTTCAAAACTTTTAGGTATGCAGCTTTGTAGGCCATGAAATTTACTATAATAAAAAAAAAAACTAAAGATATTCTATTGAAGTTCAAATGCAACGAATCCCCGCTATTCGAATTTCGAAACGCAATTTTTTTTTTTCATTTCTGCTTCACTCTAATGTACATACAATATATTTTTGTAATGCATTTGATCTTTATTTAATCTTTTTCAATATATATAATTAACTTAATAAATCTGTTATTTTTCCAACACAAAAAAAATTTTCGCATGCAATTTT